AGGGCCCGGTTGCTCGACTTCATCCCTGACTCACAGCTCAAGGGTTTAGCTTCCTAATAGACCTAATATAGATAGGCCCTGTCATATGTGGCTGACTGCCTCCCTCTCAACAGAGGGCAAAAAGGGCAATATTTGTAGGGTGGGATAAGGTGCTGGAAAGGCTTGTGCAGGTACAAGCCCCAGGTTCCAAACTTTAGGGAGTCAGGAGTGAATTCAGGCATGACTTGGGGTTTTTCCTGGGTGCTGAGGGCACACTCAGGAATGCCACAGCACATGTGGTGATGGGCAGAAATGTTATTAAATAGTTACCCAGAAAAGTGGCAAATCAACCACACATTACTACTCCAGGAGGGGTGGGTCTGAGTTTGCCTTTGAGGGTGTCCAATGTCAGCTGGGTTTGAGAACTCACGCCTCTAATGCCAGCATTCAGAAAGTCAAGGTTGGAGGATCTAGAGTTCGAGGCCAGCTTGGGCTACATAACAAGACCTTGTCTTTAACAACAATAATTAAACAAACAGAACCAAAAAGTGCCCAGAGTCCATTTGGTGAGGCTTTGAACAAGAATACAGCACACAGCCAATCACAGGTCTGCACTTCCTCTCTGAGCACACAGCCAATCACAGGTCTGCACTTCCTCTCTGAGCACACAGCCAATCACAGGCCTGCACTTCCTCTCTGAGCACACAGCCAATCACAGGCCTGCACTTCCTCTCTGAGCACACAGCCAATCACAGGTCTCCGCTTCCGCTCTGAGCACACAGCCAATCACAGATCTGCACTTCCTCTCTGAGCACACAGCCAATCACAGGCCTGCACTTCCTCCCTGAGCACACAGTCAATCACAGGCCTGCACTTCCTCTCTGAGCACACAGCCAATCACAGGCCTGCACTTCCTCTCTGAGCACACAGCCAATCACAGGTCTCCGCTTCCGCTCTGAGCACACAGCCAATCACAGATCTGCACTTCCTCTCTGAGCACACAACCAATCACAGTTCTGCACTTCCGCTCTGAGCACACAGCCAATCACAGGTCTGTACTCGGCAGCCTCACAACGGAAACTCAAAATTCCAACAAGACAACTCTGGAAGCTGATAATCCATCTGGACTTTAACTAGCCTCTTTCATGCACCTTTAACGAGATCTCCCATTCCCCATCTCCCACATGTAGCAAATACTTTTGATGATCCTGCTTAGAATTTCTTCCAGCAGGTCCTCATTCTTAGATTCCCAGCAAATAGGGCTAAGAAAACTCCCCTAGAATTACCACACTCCTGAAGACTATAAAGCAAAAGATAGCACAACTCTAGCTACCCAGGCTCCCAAAGTAATCAAAGAACTTTACTACAAGAACTGATAACAAAAAAGGCAAATTGACACGCATCCTACAGGCTCCGAGAAAGATTTCAGCAGTACAAAGGAACATGAAATGACCTTGGATGGCAATTAAAAGGAAGAAAGGGAAGAAACTATTCAAACAAGCACAAAAGTGGAAGATGGTGGGTGGCGGTGATGGTGATGGTGGCGGTGATGATGATGATGGTGATGGTGGCAGTGATGATGATGGTGATATACATCTCACATCTACAATATGAACTCTAAGACAAGGGGGAAGAATCATGCAAGAGATGGAAATACCTTCTGTCACTTCCTCTCCTGGAGATAGGACATGGGGTGATTAAACACGAGGAGACAATGCAGGTGACATCTCAAAGTCACCTTTTTTCTGTACTTAGCCCTGGTCTGACCTACATCACACAGTGATACTGGAGAACTTGGCCTGTATCCAGAGGACAACAGTCATAAGATGTAAAGGAATGTAAAGGGGAAGAAAGGGTTTGAACAAGTTCAACCTAGGACAAAACGACAAGGACAGACAAACCTGTGCAGGACAAACTGCATTTGGTGACTTTGAGTTCCGACTCTTCTCAACTTCCGCTTTCAAATTAATTTTCAATCATATCTGATTCTCAATCTCACTTTCCTGACATCTTAGAAGTGTGGAAATTACACCATATGTTAACTATGCCCAAATAACCTAATCATGAATGCAGGTGAGGAACAGGTCATCCATCTACTGACGGGTAGAGAATTATCAGGAACACACAAAGGATTTATCTTCATTCCCGAAAATAGGTGGGCAGTGTTAGCGTGGTGTTGGCGTGGCCGTCCTTTGGGCTCAAAAGGGAATGATCCATGTTTACGGTGGCTGTGGGGCCTCTGTTGGTGGGTACAGGTGCAGTGGGGGGAAGACAAAGGTAATCCTGCAGAAACATGGATGCTAGAGGAGCCCACAGCACTTGGAGGTCTGACGCTGCATGCAGCCACACGTCCCCGTCCGGGAGGACACGGTGGAGGGAGAACGCTGATGTGGAAAGGTGAATTTTTATTTCAATCTAGCACTACAGGGGTGGATGGCCATGGACACTTGATTCATTTGTAAACTGAAGAAATAAGATCAAACGGCTCTCGCCTCATGCCCAGTAAAAGTTAAACAGATTACAACTATCTGAGGCCCCTTTAGTCTTGCCCCCATCCATCTCGAACCCATCTCTTCTCTTCTCATGAGCTGGGATCCGGAATGCAAGAGGATGTTCTGACCTCAGGGCCTTTCCAGCTGCTTGCATTTTGCCTGAAACATTCTGCCCAGGATAATCTTAGCTGGCTTTCCTATACTGCTCAGTCTAATATAACATGCTCAGTGAGTTTATTCACAACTGCAATCACTTACATAACTCAACACTTGTGCGTGTAAGCATACATGCATACACACACAGAGAGAGACGAGAAAGAGAGAGAGAGAGATCACTATTTCTCTCCTCATGTTTAAATTTGCCCTTCTTAGCACTTAGTATTGACTTATTACAAATTTTGCATATTTATTGTGTTTGGTGTCAGTCTCCTTCAACTATAACAGCTACTCTCTAAGAGCACGCATTTTTACCTGCCTAGTTTACCTCTGTATCCCCAGGGCCTGAAAGAATGACTGGGACCCACAAGGAACAGTGTGTGGGTGGAAAGGAAGCCGGGAGTGCCAACCTCTATTGTTTCTTTGGCTCTCCGTCCTGTGGGCTGTGGCGCCCATGACCATAGGTCTCTCCCTCTCTACTGCCAGGATTTACTCTGTAACCACATGAAAAAACAAGACAGCTCAAGTGAAGACATAAAGGGCCGGGGCCAGTTGTGACATGCTTTCAGTCTGCTGCAGAACTGGGCAAGCGCATGCCCAGTGTCTAGCCTGCTCTGTAAACAGTAACATTTGGCCAATTCGAAGTTCCTGATACTGCCATCCAGCTCCAAATTCCTAGTGTCTGAATTAATAGCATAAGCATGGAGCAGAGTACATTCATCTGCTCTGACTCTTGACTTAGAACCCCCAAAGGGAAACAGAAGCCAGTGGTGGCACTCCCATGTGCATCTCAGATCATTCCACTAGAGGGCCACATGCGATGTGCTGGCATACTGGGGGAAATTCACCAGCTGGGGAGCAGCAGAGTCCCATGGCCCTCTAGTCCTCTGCTGGGCTCTCACACGCTCCTTTCTCTTTCACGTGAGCCTGCCTATTTTCAGTCACTAATTTATAAACTGCTCTCTAGCGCTTCAGGCTCACCTACGACATCACATGACTCCAGCCCTTTCTGCCTCTCGGCCAAAGTTCATTCCTTCTCTTTGGAACGCTCCCCCAAACCCACTTCTTCCACAAAACCTTCCCAAGCAAAGCTGGCCCTGACCCCAGTTGTGTCAATGTATACACCATGACATCAGTCACAGATACATGCCTGTTTTTATATACCAGAGAGGGGGGCACATATATATACATACACACACACACACACACACACACACACACACACACACACACACACACGAAGCAGGCAGAAGATCACGCGCACAGCTCTGAGCGTCCAGAAGACATATGTTTACCTTTTATGAACAATGCGCAGGTGACCACACTTTGGCCAAGAGAAGTCACAGCTCTACAAAACTGTCCTGGCTGCCAAAGCGTCAGTTAATGAGCTGAGACAAGTTACATCAACATCTGCTACGTCTTTCCATTTCTAGTTCTTCCTACTATTGACTTTAAACTCTATAAAGCACTTCTTTTTTTTTTTAACCTTTTCTTTCCTTTATCTCTTTCGCTTCTTTCTGTCTTGAGCAAATCTTGCTGAAAATCTTTGGATTCCTATCTTCCTGCTTTAACCTGCCAAGTGTGGGGTTTATAGATGCGCCCCACCATACTTGGCTCCCCAAAAGCCTTGCGTATAGAACTTTAGGATAAACTTATGGAAATCCTACCCACAGACCTGTAGAGACATGCATAAGTACCAAAATAACTTTTTAAATGGCTGTTTAAAAAGCTCTTTCATTTCAACTCTTCACAATCTTTTTCAATTTACCTTAGAAATCAAATTGTTTATTTGTAGTAACTTTAAGTATTGGCTATAAAACAAGCCTCGGGTGTTATTTTTAAAAGGTAAAAGGTTTTAGACGTGGGTAAAGTTGCTCTCTGGTTCTCAGGGGAAAAAATAAGAACAGTAATAGTCGGACAAGCAGTTACGCAGTGGGGAAGAGAGGTAAACTAGATGTTTACAGGTTACCAACGCAGCAGACCCCTGGGAACCAACCAGAGGTATGCTATAGTTCATAAATTCAGGGAAATATACAAAATGAGCTGTGGATTTTAAAACAACTACAAACTTTTACGAGGCCGTGTTTCTGAAACTTTTCAAGGCTTCATCTGATCACAAGTGAAATTATCTATCCGTATGCTGCAGATGCCATTTTTAACCCATAATCCCCATATCTCTCTCAGCTGAAGAGCGGGTCCCCATGACCAGTTCCATAGGAGAAAGAAACCTGTGAGTTAGTGAGCACAGTCCCTCCAAAGCCACGACCAGACGTTCCTCCTTTGAATACAGCAGTACTGAGTTAGACATCCAAAAATTCCACCGGATCCCCAGAGACACTGCATCCAGACTGTCTAAGAACAGCCTTAACTCACCTAATCTTTGCATCTTCTCCCTGTGCTCGTCAGGAGGACCCCGTCAAAGTGTCTTGGTAGAGTCACACAAACCTGAGGAACATCCACAGTCCCATCTTTTCCAATCAATTCACACCATCCTTCTGGAAATCCGCCACAAGCTTCCCAAACGAACGCACAGGAGACTGGTCAACAATGGTCTCTTTAGAAGTTGTCCTGCTTGTTATTCTGGGCGCTGCATTTTGTCGCTTGTCGAGGAATATGTTATGTAGCTTTTAATTGTGCGGGTCACAGAGGTGTCTGCATTCACACTGAGGATGGACTGGATGGAGACTGCCCTCACTCTCCACCTATAAACTGCGCTACACAGGAACACAGCTTACTGTGCTAGGCAGATGGGCAGAATTTTAAAAATCAAGCAGAACAGGAAGTCTACTGTTCCAACAGGCTAGGGGAAAAAGCAGATAGTTCAATTAAAAAAAAAAAAAAAAAAAAAAAAAAGGACAAAAGGGAGTGGTTCCATTCACAGATGCCTGAAAGAAAAAAAAAAAAAACCACCCCATTCCTACCTAGCCAGTACAAACATGAATGAATGTCTATTAATAGGAAGCGTTGCTCAGAGGTGCTCTTGTTGTCAGGAGAGCTAAGGGATGCAGGAAGAACAATGTTACTGCTGAAAATCACCACCAGCCTCTTGCTTCTGCAGAGGACTTACAAAGAATATGAGTCTGAGAATGTTTAGGTGCACACATATATACACATGTATGCATGCAATACGCATGTTTCCATAGAGACTGTATAATAGTCTCCTTCATATCTTATTGATTTACCTGGGTCTTCAGAAGTCATCACAGCTAGCTAACTTCCCTTAGATAAGATTCTGTCCATACTCCTCAGCCCACTCAAAGCATAGTACCGAAGGGTGTGAAACCTTCTCCCACAGACTTCAACTGTAAGCTCAGGTCTTCCTTTAAATCCGAAAGCTACCTGCTTTACAATTTCTCGGTACCACTGTGTGATAGTTACTACAGTTAATACCATCCTTGGCTGTGTGTCTACCTTGCTACCCAGGTGGATGACCTTTATCCTCTGTAGCATGTATAACCTGGCTCGAGTCTACCAGCAAAAAAGATACAAAGTGGAATATAATTTGCTAGACCCGGTTCAAATTCCATTTATGCTGCTTTCTGGTGTGTAGGCTCCCAAGTTATTTAACCTCTTTGGACAACTGCAAAATAAAAGTGGCACAGCCAACCTCAGAGAACGTCTGTCAAAGTTGAAGGAGAACCGTGGGAAGCCAATAACAAATTGCCTTATGCATGCACAGTGAGTTCTAGTAGTAATGGGAACTATTAATGAACTGAATTTAAATAAAATGCCCTCTCTTAATTGGGGGAGAGAACTATAGGAAGTGAGATGATTGTTAATTTACAAACATAGGTATACGTTTATCATTTTCATTCTACATAGTCATAGGCGGAGGTTATGAAATCTGTGTTTTAGAAACCATCTTTTTGTGTTCACAAAATGTTCTCTCTCTGAATTCTGACTGGCCCATAATGCATGAAAACTTCATCAGTGACGAGAAAATGTCAAGAGAAATCTGTTCCCAGAAGTTCAAGATTCCAACCCCCAAGCTTGGTTTATTGATAAATCTGAGGGTAATTGATATAGAACAAAATTTCATACCTAAACAGAAGGAAGGTCTCCCACTTCCCTAAAATGGCCTCAGTGGTAGCTCTGTGGCTAGGCAGCTACGAGGCATTGCTTCATCCGGCCTGCTGAAGACTGGGGTGCACAGTGAGGCCGTGGAAAGGGGAGCCTGGAGGAAGACTCCTCAGCTCACCTCACCTCACCTGTGTGGGATCCAAGTCCAGGGAAGGAAGGACCAGGGGAGTCCCAACACCAAGCAAGAAAGAGAACGTTGTAAGTACTCTATCCTCAGGTACCAAGGGCACCTCTAACCCAGAAGGACATTCCTGGTCTCAGAGAGGTCCCAGACAGCAGGAGAACAATGTAAAGCAAGGTACCTGCATGGCACTCTTCTTCCACAGACCCCTCTTCTCTCACATAAAATCAGAACACCCACGTCATCCATGATTGGTTCTATTCATTGCTGCTGAAAGTTGTTCCAGCATTTAGAACTATGTTCTGCTCATCCCCATGGTAGTGGGCTAAAAGGGGGTGGGTGGGTGGGCCCAGGCAGAGGAAGAGTCTCCTGTCACCATCTGTGGAGCAGTCCAACCTCACAGAGTAGCCTGGGTACAAAATATCTAACTCCTACATTTGCCTTTGTGGCTATGAATACAGCTCTTCCAAGCTTCCCTAGGACTTGCAAATTCAACCGCTTTGGGTGGGTTCAAGGATCCGCATTTGTTATGACATCCAGTGCACATGCATCCTCATGCTGTGGCAAGGGGGGAGCACACAGTCAGAATTTCCAAGCCTGGACACTGGTTGGTGATCTAGTGGTCAAAGAATGTGCCCAGACTATGCCTTGATAAGGTAATTTGTAAATAGTCTTTTTTTTCTTTTCTTTCCTCTCCCTCCCTCCTTCCCTCCCTCCCTCCTTCCCTCTTCCTCCCTCTCTCTCTCCCTCTCTCTCTCTGGCAATACTGGGGGTCAAACCCAGAGTCTTGTATATGATGAACACACTGTAGCAGAAATACAGGACTGCTCAATACCCCAGCCCCGAGAGTACACCTGCACTGTCAGTCATGGAGATGCTCTGAGGGGTCACATTGATATGGAGAAAGCCCTCCCTGGGGATTCCAGAGCCATCTATCAGAGGTTTCTTCATCTCTCTGCAGCCACATATTAGAGGCCACTAGAAAAATCAATCAGCTGTTCTGTATGATGCTATCTAGCAACTCTTGGGGAAAAAAAATCACTTAAATCCGAATCCTCCCTACACCCAGGGGAAACGGGTGACAGTCTCAATTTCCAAAGAATATGGCAGAGCAAGAGGCCATGCAGCATCTTCAAGGCTCTGCAACACAGGGCAGGGCTGAGAAGAAAGACATTGAGGCCAACTCCTACCCTTCCAGAACTCTGTCCAGACACACGTGCTGGCCTCATTTCAGTGGCCGCTTACTATATACCCCAAGGTGGGGAGAAAACAAGCTTCCTATACAGCCACCCACATCCTTATCAGTAGCACATTGCACACAATCACCACCACACTGGTGCCTGCATGCAAAAGATAGCTTCATGTCTTCTATCTGATTTTCAAGCCTCAGAGAGAACTGGAAACACTCACAAAACACTTTGACCTTTATAGTCTGGCATTCCCAAGACAATGCCCGTCCATTGTACACAATACTGTGACTGCCAGCATCAACTCAATTTTCTGTCTTAGTGTTCAGCTTCCCCTTATCCCATCAGTCCTCTTCTGGCCCCCCTCCTTCCCGATCCTACCGAAAACCACAGTTCAACCAGGGCCCTCTCCTCTTCTCCCTTTATTCCTCTTCATTCATCCTCCTCTTTGAGGAGAAGGAAGTCATTGATGAAGAGGCATGGAAGGGGGCCTAATGGAATTGTTACAGGAGATTCAGTGTCTGAGACTGGTACGTGCTCAGAAGTGCCCTCCAGCTAGTCCACAAAAGACAGCGCAGATAGATGCCCCTGGAGGAAGTTCTACCTTGGCCTTGAGGGCCCAGGGTCTAAGCCTAGACAGGCTCAGGGAAATCCCACTGCTGAGTGCCCACCAGCTGCCTCGCTGTGAGAGCACAATACTTACACAGGTCCTAGGAGGTAGGCAACATGTTCTCCAGATTACAGACAAGGAATCTGAGCTCCATATAACTCTCCTATCTGGTTGGAATGGGGAGACAGGGGTGTATCAGGTTTGCCTCACTCAGAATTTTTGGCTTTCCCCCTCTGCATATCATTCCAAAAAAGAAAAAAAAATCCCTTGGCTCCTCAGCTAACACAATCAGGGCGATCTGGGAAAATAAAAGGAGTACCTAGGAACTTCCCATCTTGGCCTAGGTAGAGTAGCAAGCTAAACTGTGCTGCAGGGGCCAGCCCTGGCACAGGGTCAAGGTTGGGCTGGAGATTTCCCGTATCTGTCACTTGTGGCAGCTGTCATTCAGGGCCTTCCACCCAAGCAGCTGCTCAAACGACCCTTTCACGTATCAGCCATCCCGCATATCAGATATTTACATTACGATTCATTACAGTAGCAGAATTACAGTTACAAAGTAGCAATGAAAATAATTTTATGGTTGGGGATCACCACACATGAGGAACTGTACTAAAAACTGTGCTAGGAAGGTTGAGAACCACTGTGCTCAAAGAATAAGTGTGGGGATGCAGGCCTTTCTATTAGGTAATATGTACGGCTATAGTTCAAGTATACGTTTTATTAAAAGGTAATTCTCCTGGTTGTTCTCTTGGAATCTCAGAATTTGAGTGTCTGCAAGAGCTCTGATATCACCTAACCACATCTCACAAGCAAAGAAAATGAGCCAGCACCGTAGATTGAAGGCCATTCCCCAACTTTGCTGGTAGGGAATGGCCATGCAGTGAGGGGGGTTGAGGACTTCAGTGAGCAGGGAGGTCTGTCTATCTTCTTGGGAGATTCATGCATACCCAAACCGCTTCACACTTGCATCACCAGTGACAACACTAAATCGGCATTTAGAACGCAAAAGAAACACCGGGTGCCAGCTGTAGCAACTATGCTGGCACAGGGCTTGGAGGTGGTTTATTCTCCACTAAGCCGAACAGAAACAGAGCCTTAGGATTTTATTGCTCTCTTGCACCACAAACCTTCATACAAAACAGAACATGATCCCCAGCAATAAATATGAAACTAATGAAACTCTCATCGGCTAAGAGAAACTATCCAGTCTTGAAGTCAACCTCCCTATACATTTCTGGAAATTCGACTTCATGAAGAAACACAGAATATTTTCCACCCTGAAATCCAGGCCTGCCCTGAGCCCCCTGCACTGCCGGCCTGGCTGGCCATGGCTTCTGCTGACTTCTCACTGCTACTGCTAGCACTGGATTCTGTAAACCTTTCTTAGAAGGTGTCAAAAAGGTGGCTCCGTGAAGACACAACATCCCAGAGACTCCAGCAGGGAGGGCATTTCCATTTTCCATTCCCTCTCTAGAGGTCATAACACCTTGGTCATTATACAATATTACCAATGGGCCTATTTGCACGAGCACATTTTTTAAAAAATATATAATAAAAATAAATTGCAGAAACTCAAAAAAAGCACCTCATTTTTGAGTGCTTGCCCAGGAGAATGATGTATCACACCATTCTGGGCCCAAGTCCATCTGTATGCAGAGC